CCTTCCATCTTTCTCCTACCCCGCTAGCTTTCGTCATCCACCCCCGGCTTCAAGTGTAATCCACCATGCTGGTCCCCTAAACCCACCCCATGTCCCAACCCCGTGTCCCCAAGTGTTACCCTAAAGGTCTCATGTTTTGGTGCTGTGCGTGATCACTTTTTTGGGCGCTCTAAGTATAATCCCATGGTGCTCTAAGTGATCCGGTGCTCTAAGCGATCCACTTTCCAGTGCCCTAATTGATCCCTTAACCGTTTTGCCATCCATTTGTACTTGCGTTTTTTCAATCAGGCCGGGAGTGCAACTGGATATTTTGTTGCAAATACCTGCAAAATAAATACAATTTGGTATGTTTGTTAAAAAACGGTCTGTTTTAGCCTACGGCCTCCAAAGTAGAATTGTATGAAATTTCATGAAATTTCATTTCCGCCCTGAAACACACTCCTGCGCTCGTGACGGGAAAAATCAAGAATCGTTTGTTAGAAATGTGCGCGTCAAGTGTTTTAAACAACTGTGGTATTGAATCAGCGGTATTATTGCACTTTTCTCCCTGCTTTGCAGGGACTTGCCTGGCACTGGGAAATCTTTGGGGTCTAAACGTAACGTTTTTGGATATGCGTTTGTTCGCATTTTTTTGTTTGCGTCGATTTGGGTCAGTTTTGCGCATTTTTGGTTGATTTTTTCAGGCGTTTGTGCCCTCAAAACATGTTCATCCCTGGTGATTTGCATGCCTATAATAATCTATAATATTTTCCTTGCCATTTCCACCACTAAAAGGGTGAACACGTGCTGGGTATCATCCCATTTTGGGGATGAAGTCGTGCCCAGAGTTTTGTAATCAGCGATCATGCGCTGCTTCTTGTAGCGGTTTTTCACTTGTTTAACTTAGCTCAAAAAATCGAAACGGCATTTTGGAAAATTTTGAGCGGACATCCGTATAATCTTGCGGCGGCGAGCCATCCCTATTCTACAAGCGGGGAGGTATCCCGATTCCATGGGCGGCGAGTTATCCTGATTTCGTTGGCGAGCCACTGCGTGAAATTTTTCATGCTACTCACTGAAAAAGTCAAATTACCTTCGGGCCCATACTCCATTATGATTTATTTAAATATAAACGTGTGCGAAAGACCGGGTAGCTAAAAATTGATGAGCCGATTACAATTCTTTAAAGTGTATAGTCGTTCACTTCAATATTTGAACCACAACACCCAACACCAATTGGTGACGAGTGCCACCTCTCTACCCCACCACTGTTACCAACCGGGCCACCAGCAAACCTTTGAATCCAAGAGCCACAAACCCCTGATTGGAAAACGGCACGTCCAGCACCACCTGGTAGCCAAAACACTACCCCGTGAAAACCCCCAAAAATATGGAATAAACATTAAAAATGGTTCCTCTTCAAAAAAAAAATCATGATAGTTTACCAGCACGAGGCGGGGCGGAAGTTGCCTTAGGGATATTTAAGACCAGTCAGGCCCGTGCGTGCGTGCATTCTGCGAAAGTGGTGTCTTGTTTCACACGTAAAATTTGAAACTCCACTTCGCACTTCACAATTCCCACTGCACTCTTCGCATTCCAAACTTCATTTCACAATGCGCCCTTAAGACTCCACATTTCACACTTCACACTTCACACGTCAGACTTCACAGTCCACACTTCAGATTTTTCATTGTTTTTTCTCACTCCACACTTTACACTCCACACTTCACTCTGTACACTGCACTCTTCATGTCCCAGGCTTCACACTGCACTCTTCACACTTCACACCCCACACTGCATCTCATCTGAATTCTTCTCACCCCTCCTCTCACCTCATCCCTTCTCATATGTCACCGAAGCTTTCATGAATCACTTCCCACTTCCACTTCGAGAACTTACATGCGCCGTGCGCCAGCCACGCCCGTGCGTGCGTGCTTTGTGCGAAGCTCTTGCGCAGATGTTGTCCAAGAAGATGACCTCACACTTCACACTGCATTTTCACACTTCACACTTGCACTTCACACTTGCACTTCACACTTGCACTTCGCACTCGACAAATCATCTCATCTCAAATCACGTGAGCTCTTCTCACCTCATCTCAGTTTATTTCATCTCGTCCCATCCCTTCTCACATGTAATCCAAATCAGTTCTTCTCAATTGTTTTCATTTCATCCGAGCACTGATCGACCTTTCTCATCTCCTTGATGTTCTCAACTCATTCTACCTGTCCTGCACGCCAATTTTTTTTTATTGTCAGAGCGAAGTTTGCTGCACAAAAAAACATTGGGCGCAGAAAATTTTTGCACGCAGACGTTTGGGACACAAGTGCGCTTACATACTTATCATACATTCCTTTCCGAATTACTTTGTATTACGTTGGTTGAACGAAGAACTTCCCAGTACCACTTTGTGCCACAAAGTTTGCACAAAGCACCTTCCAGGACCACTTCGCATTGCGGCTGTGATCAGTGACCGCGCGCAGTGTGCGCACCGAGTGCACCAAGTGCACCCAATACACTTGCAGCGCACCGAGTGCACCGAGTGTACCGAGTGCACCGAGTGCACCAAGCGCACTTGCAGCAAATCGAGTGCACCGAGTACACCGAGTGCACCGAGTACACTTTCAGGTGTTTAAGCCTCTATTGTCTATTTACCTACCTATCTATTTATCCAGAGATGTGCTGGGAGCTTTACCTTGGGTCATTCGCGAAGAGATGCCCTTACAAGGCAAGCCGGAACTGCCGTGGCAGGATTTTAAGCACCCCAAATTGGAAAAATTGATAAAAATATATAAAAATGGTGGATTACTGCGATTTTTAACGAGATTTATTTCATTGATTTTCATTGTAAGGATTTTGTGTCATGCTACTTGATAAGTGGTTTTTTTTAATAGTTTTTTTCACCTTTATTTAGTCAGTGGGGCAAGTTGGTAAATCTATGCTTTTACTGGGGTGAACAAACCCACAAGGTTTAATATGTATCAGATTTGGAACCAAAATGATAGTAGTTTGAAGGCTTTTTAAGTTTTGACCCATGTAATTGGGTTTAATTTTTAGTCCAGTGGAGTGGGCCCCAGTCATGGGTATAATTAATACACGGGGCTTATTTTGTCCAAAAAAACAATAGATATATTTTTGATTTTATATATATATATAATGTAAAAACATATAGGTCAAACATTTGGAGTTTCCAGGGTTCACATGTGTTTCAACCACTTTCACCGGGCTGTAGTGAGATGCGTTAAATCTCGCCCAGCTGGTCGCGAGACTACGACACCCAGCCAACTTTCAGCCAGGAATCACAACAACGTCATGCACATACCAAACGGTCGCAAGCTTAGAGGGTCGGCACCACTCACTGTGGATGGGCCCGCGAAATCTTGCACCACCAAAAGGGTGGTTGAAAGCGTGAAAATAATGGGATGTTTACCATCTATAGGTGCAGGACTATTTCCATCCACAGTATGTCACTACCAACCGACCAGTTGACTCACCGTTTTTTGTTCACAGGATTTGCTACAAATTGTATGTAAGAGTTTCGCTGGGAATGTCCGAGGTTTTTTGGGGATAAAAATGTTTTTTCTTTTAAAAAAACATCTTTGATATATAGGCCAGTTGATTACTGAGACCAATTTCTACAACAGACTTTTTAGATTAATGTTTGGTTCACTAACGTTTGTCTGAAAGTGGGATATCCTAAAGCATCAGGGTTTGTCATTGTTTTCGTTGTCCATTGGTCCATTGACTTTTTCTACGGCAGCCCCCGAACCAAGGAAATCGACATTTTCCAAATCAACTCATGTTGCCACCATCTGGGTTGCTTATAGCTAGTAGGTATTTGGACTGTTACCAATTGGTTTTTGATAACATGTCTACATATTTTGATTTTTGATAATCGAAATAATTTTTTTAACAACATATAATCCACTATTTGAATCTATTTGATTTGGACACGTCCAAACATTTTTTTCACCACGTTATTCCCCACCTGCCAGGTGAGGGTTGTTAGATTTTATCAGAGCTGTTCTCCTCCTCCTCCTCCGCATCCTCCGCCTCCACCTCCGCCTCCTCCGCCTCCTCACCCGCCGCCTCCTCCTTCCGGACCTCAACCGCGACTTCCAGATCGCAGTGGGCACTGCCGGACCTCAACCGCGACTTCCAGATCCCAGTGGGCACTGCCGAACCTCAACGGAAAGAATGTGAGAAAAAACGTCAGATAGAATGTAAGAAGATATGCCAGATAGAATGCCAGAAAGAATGTCAGAAAATATGTCAGACAGAATGTCAGAAGATATGCCAGATAGAATGCCGAAAGATATGCCAGATAGCTATGCCAGAAGATATGCAGGAAGATGTGTCAGAATATATGCCAGAGGATATGCCAGATAGAATGCCAGAAAATATGTCAGATAGAATGCCAGAAGATATGTCAGATAGAATGCCAGAAGATATGCCAGATAGAATGGTAGAAGATTTGCCAGATAGAATGCCAGAAGATATGCCAGATAAAATGCCAGAAAATATGCCAGAAGATTTGCCAGTAAAAAAATGTATAAATGTCATGGTGGGGATCACACGAAGTAAGGTAATTTTGATAACCCTTGTCTTTTGTTTATCGCGGGAAATATGACGCCCTTTGGATCCGCTTCTTTTGCTCAGGCAAACCATGGTGAAACTTTATACACAAATGGACACAAGGTGTGATAGTTGCATGTTTCGTGACAGAACCCATCATAGACTCATAGACTCCTATCTAATTGTCATGTTTGTTTGCTTTTCTTAAACGTGAAGATCCGCATAATTGATGATCATCACCGTTTTGTTTTTCCAATTATCGGGGCATTATACCCTGTTAAACTCTGTTATTAGTGTGGTTATTCCCTCTGTATTCCAACGTTTCCTCATTACGGTCCCATCATTTTTTGTAATTTACCATTATGTTCCCTTTGTATTCTCAAAAGTGCCAATCAATCATTGTTAAACCATGTTAAAGACTATTTCAGGACCAAATCCAAAGCACCAGCAGCCATGGCGTGCAACACCCATGGCTTTGCAACAGGGCTCCTGCAACAAGTGCAACAAGAGGGCCGTGCTGTGATGCTTGGCTGGTCGGAAAAGGATTGAACAGGAACGAAAATCATTGAACAAACATGAAGACGATATGATGAAATCTCTGGAGCAGATTTGCGACTCTGTGTGCAAACGATTCTGGGGCAACAATCATCTCAGGTAGGAGACATGATTCTGGAACACATCCAAAATGTAGGATTTTTGGAAATCTTTGCAACAAATTAGAGCCAATAAAAAACAAACATGAAAAAAGGGTACGTTTGCCTTGATATTGGAGTAGCAGCCTCTTGAGTCTGGTTTCTTTGTGTTTGTGATGCCAATTTTTGAGTCATACCTGAATATAATTCGGGATTTGAGATGTAGTTTTGCAAACTTTTGGCGTGAACCAAACTTCAGATCCAATTTCAACACATCCAAACATGTGCGCCCAATTCGAGGTGCTCTGACCGGTACCCTGGCATATGTTTCAGCACCTTGTTTTTTGCCAAACCCTTGGTGAGGAACTTATTCCCCCCCTGCCAGTGAGGGTAGTTAGATTTTATCAGAGTTGTTCTTCTCCTCCTTCTTCTTCTCCTCCTCATTCTCCTCCACCACCTCTGCCTTCACTTCCATGTCCACTTCCGCCTTGCCAACTCTTCGCCAAGCTCTTCGCCAACTTCCGCACGCAGTGGCCACTTCTGGACCTCAACTGCAAGGGTCTGAGCGCAGTGGTCACCGCTGGACCTCAACCTGGGACCTTCCGAGCTCAGTGAGCACCGCTGGACCTCAACCTGGGACCTTCCGAGGCCTGAGCTCAGTGAGCACCGCTGGACCTCAACCTGGGACCTTCCGAGCTCAGTGAGCACCGCTGGACCTGAACGACCAGATAGAATGCCAGAAGATATGCCAGATAGAACGCCAAATAGCATGTCAGATAGAATATGATAGAATGCCAGAAAATATGCCACAAGATATGCCAGATAGAATGCCAGAAGATATGCCAGATAGAATGCCAGAAGGTATGCCAGATAGAATGCCAGAAAGTATGCCAGATAAAGTGCCACAATATTTGGCAGATAGAACACCAGAAGATTTACCAGATAGAATGGCAGATAGAATGTCAGAAAATATGCCAGAAGATATGCCAGATAGAGTGCCAGAAGATATGCCGGAACATATGCCAGAAGATATGCCAGGTAGAATGCCAGAAGATATGCCAGATAGAATGTCAGATCGAATGCCAGGAAATATGTCAGATAGAATGCCAGAAGATTTGCCAGTAACAAAATGTATAAATGTCATGGTGGGGATCACACGAAGTAAAGTAATTTGGTTTTTTGTGTATTCGAAAATCAATCATATGAGAATACAGGTAATATGATCTGTTTGGACCCCCAAAAACTTATATACCTTTGCTTGTTTGTAATGCTACACTACAACTCTTTTGGAATTATTATTGTTCCCAGTGAATAAATATTGTATAGAGTAAGGGGGTTGTCTTATTGAAGTTTTGCTGTGCCTTTGAAGTCACTTGCCTTCAGAAGAGGCACTGTCAATCTCACAAAGGTAGAATGTGTGATGTTTTTGTTTAAGCAAAGACGGCTAACGTTTGTTCATTTCAAGTATTCACAATTACTGTCGGCGGGCAAAGGAAATGGACATCATGCGGGAGAAAAAAAAACATTAGGGCATACTGACTCTAGAAAACACAATGTAGCAGTACTTGTGCCACATGTGCAGCATGTTTTTTAATATCCAATTTGTTTTTTCAACACAAAACTATAGTTTCACTTAGGGAGAAACATGTATGTTCTTCAAAGTAATGGCTACATTTCTGAAGATAACCCTATTTGATTTGAAGAGATACTGCGTTTGAGTGCAAGATGCCTTGTGTTTTGAAGGGATCGTTTGTGCAACGTCGAACGTGTTTTTTCCTTCCAGAAGTATTGTACTTAGTACGTTATGAAATGGGTCTGTGAATTAAGAATGCATATTTACATGTTGGACAAAAACAGTGTTTGATCGAAATGAAGAAATATATTTTCAAGAGAAATTGTTTTCTGCAAAGCAATGCTGCCTATTGAAAAAAAATAATAAAAAAAGTGTCTGTTTGTAAATCTTGCCCTTGTCACTTAGAATTGGTTCTTCAAAAGAAAGGTGCATGTTTGATCATTTTTTGTAGTCAGTTCCAGTGTTTTCACTGCCCTTTCAAATTTGGGGAAAAGAGCCAAAGCTGAATGATGTTTTTCAAGTGGGTTTGCATCACTACGCAAGGGAAACTTTGCAGAGAGGTTGAGGTACTTGGAGGTACGTAAATTAATGTAAATTATATCTATCTAAGACATATTGTGGAAGGGGTACGAACTAAGATTACAAGAATTTTACTTAGGCATTCTGCAACCCGAATGAGCCCATTCAGAATGCATTCTTCCCCAAAACCAAGATCCAAGAGTTGCGGAGAAGTTTTGGGCAAATCTTGTATTTGGGATTTGCCAGAATACCCTTACCAATCCCTATCCAAATTCTTTATGAATCCAAGATCTTGATCAGGAGTCTTGTGGGAATCTTGGATCTTGGATCTTGGTTTTTGCCAAGAATGCATTCTGAATGCTTTCCTTCAGAATGCAGAATGCCCCAAGTAGAAGGAAATCAAAATCAACGTTCTGCTTACTACCCGCTGTGTGTATTCACATACGTTTATATCTAGGCACCCGCCGGAGGGAAAACCAATACCGAAAACTTTCCAAAATTGCCAATTTAAAACCATTCCAAAAAATAGACACGCAACACCGCAAACACCAGTAGTGATGAGAAGGTAGGTTTTAGGAGGGGGGTTACCATATATATGTATAGAGTTCTGATGAAACTAACTGCTGTGAAGGGCGGTCACGTGCAATCCCTACCATTGGTTGCCTTGTCAACAAGTCAGGCAAGCAACGATCTTTTTTACATGATGGCTACACCGACCATCCAAAAAATTGGTAGTTGTGTTCCTATTGCATGATATTCATGTAAGAGACATCTATTTAAGTTCACTAAATAAGAACAACCTTAAAGCTGTAAAGTTGCCATTTGTTGGTAAATATATAATTAAGTCAAATAAACCTTTTGTTGCCATTTGTCCCTTTATAGACTCACTATCTCCTTGCCATTCCGAAGTGCAGAGAACCCACGCTGCAGGTCTTTCATTGCTGGGAACATGGTACCCCATCCGCTTCCGAACACCTCTGGAGCCGCGGACAACCCCAGAGATAGCGGACAAACCATCTGTCACCACCACAGAACTGTTGCTGGATGGATTGCATCCATGTCGCGCATTTGAAACATTGTAACCACCAAGTGCATGATGACAGGAAAATGGATGGCATATTTCCTACCGACTGAATTGGTGTGTGTGTGTTTTTCCTTTAATGGGTCTGAACATGACTGGACTGATTTGTTTAACCCGTGAAAATGGGATTGGGGATAGGTAACAATGGTAACAACTAGCAACAATCATGCAATGGTTGGCACTTGCCAATTGGTCTTACTCTTCCGTTATATTTGGGATAAACACCACAGAAAAACCACTAGAACCTCTTAACATCTCTTAACTTTCGTAGGGAATCACCAAAGCACTGAGGTTTGCAGAGCTTGAGAAGGTTGACCCAGTCGCAGAGGAGAAATTTTCAATCACAGTGGACGATGGAAACGATGGAAGTGATGTGAGCACTACCAGACGGCCCATGGAGTCTACGGAGGCTGCGACTTTGGTGGATGACTTGGAAGTGCAGAACCACATCTACCAGCAACTTGCTTTGGGAAAGGTATCTGGCCATGGACCAATAGTTGTCAGTACCATATTTATCCATTTTTATTTAAATATATATATATATATAAATGAACATATATATATGTATATATTTATATTTATTTTTAAAACTATATAATACACTATATTTAATATTATAGAGTTAATATTGTCAGAACAAACATGCCGCTATACCATGTTTGTTTTTGATGATGTGCAACTGGGAGAATTGCCACAAGCAGAGAACTTTCTGTAATTTTGCCCCAAAGTTTCCATCCGCATTAATGCCGGGAGTCCCGAAAAAACCGTGTGTATATATATATATATATGTATGTATAAAAAATATATAAATACATATAATTATAGATAATTATAAATAGTTATTCATATATATATATTGAAATTATTTTATATGTGTGGCATTAAAGATATCGTTGTATTTATAAATATTTTTATAATTATATACGTGATTATAATTTTTAAATTGTATTTTTATCATTGTACTTAATTGTATATATAGAGTATTATATTTTAAATATATTTAAAAACATATTTATGAATATATATTTATATATATATATATATTTGAATATATATATATATATTACATTTTACTTATATATATATACTTATATATACACTTCTTTTTGCGCTTATATATATAAATATTTAAATATACATATAGATATATATATACATATAGATATATATATTTATTTAAATAGGTATATATACTATACCTATTATTATTATTTTATTATTAATATTTTATTATTATATATATAAATGGGGCCCACACTCTCCAATTTTGTGGGGGTTATCCTCAATCCATGAACTAGGATATCTTATGACCCAGGCACGAGCTGGCGCGCGGCAATCGCAGCTGCCCCTACTTTGCGGAGGACCAGGCGCTGTTGATCAGCGGTGCCTTGGACGTGGCGTGGTGAGGCCTGGAGGTTGGTAGAATTTATGGGAAAAGATGGGGAACACATGGTAAACATTTGGGGAAAGTATGGAAAAATAAAATGTAAGAAATATCGGAGAAATATGGGGAAAATATTGGAAACAGATGATTTTACCAGGAGAAACTAGATTTTGATTGGACTTGTAATGGTTCATGGTGAATAAAGATGGTTGGATGGATGTTTATTGGAAAATTCATGGGATATAATCATGATGCAATGGACATACAACGAGATATTAAACTAGCAATATTATGTTTTGGGTTTGTTTGAAAAATTGGATTCGATATGCACATCTTAATTACACATGTGATGACAAACATGAAATGGTGGGGTGTTATTTGAGTTTGTCTGACGAATGGGGTACCGCTAGAATCCGATGGTTTACTAAGATGGTTCATCATAATTTTCCTCATTAAATATAATAGGCATGTTAGAATATGTCCCATTGTCAAGCAAATGTATTTGTAGCAAAAATGAACATCATTGAATTTATTTAAAACGGTTTATCATCATTGTCCTGATTGAAGTAGAAATCATTTATTTCACTTGATCTTCGGATGAAGTTCATAAAATGATGGCGTTCTTCCCTGCAGGTTTGTGTGCAATTTCTGGGTGATGAAGCTGCAATGGAATGGATGGCTGCGGAATGCACATGTTTATTCAATGATATATATATATATATATGTCTCTCTCTCTCATATATTATATATATATACACCATATATACACACATATATGTATATTATATTTATATATATATAATAATAATGCACCCCCTAATTCAACTGGTTGCACCCGGTTGGTTGGATTATTTAAATCAACAACAGTGATTCATTAGCAGAGAGAGAGAGAGAGAGAGTTAGTTGGGATGATATCCTAGGCTGAGTGGGGACTGTTTTTGGGTGTCAGCGTCTTAAATGCGTATCAAGACCTTGTCAGAGGTTCCTGTGGGAGACTGGTTTAAGATTCATGCCGTCTCTAGTGGCAATCAGTTTGCCGAACATGTTCATGCCAGCCAACATCATCGACTGCAGTGACTGGTCTGGTTTGTTGCTGGAACAAAAACATTGCGTTTGAGGTACTTGTGCCCTGTTAGCCTGTTAGTATCCACCCCAAATCCCATGTGATTGGAATATGATTCCCATGTTTCTCAATGAAGCCTTTGAAAGACAAGGTGCATGGCATCCTTTGCATCATATTTGCCATTGCAAGATTTGACAAATGCCAGCTGTTGAGTTTTTTTTCTCTTCCTTTGATCCCGCTAGATCTGTAGGTTGGAATCTGTCTCGCTATCCCTGGCACATTGTGAAATATCGCTCTGATCGCAGATCGCCAATCAAAGGGGAAGTCTTGCATCTCGGCCAAAAGTTTGAGACCCAAGGGACCACAGATATTGGTCACAATCAGTGGGATCAATTCAAAAATCGGAATATGTGTGGTTCTGTTATGTTCTATTGTCAATGGGTTGGTTTAAGCGAAAAATTACAGGAAAACCCCACATTTTTTAATGGGAAAATCTATGGTTTCCTGCAGATTTTCCCTTAGAAGCCTTAGGCCAATCCGTTGATAATACTTTTCAAGATCCAGTTCTGACTGCGGATCCTTCCTTCCCAAATCCAAGGTATGGAACGGCTTTTGCGCAGAAAACCATTTGGGAACATCAGCATCCAGCAGACGCTTGACAGAGAATTTCCACTTGGCGGTTACCATGGGTCCTATATATCATGATGGTTTGATTGTTGCTCAGATGTTGTTCGGGATATCTTAGTGCGTTTGTGAATAATTATATAAATATACGCATATACATATACATGTATATACATATATTATATATTTATATGTTTATTTGCATGTATATATCTCAACATATATATATATCTAAATATATATATATGTATTGATATATGCACATGTAGTACACATATACACATATATGTTCATATATGTACATATGTGTGCATATGTGCTATGAACATATATGTGCATATTGTAATAGTGATACCCAAAACAAGTTGATGCTCTTCATGGCTTAGGGTATGGGCATTAAAGTTGGGTTGCGCAGGTTCGACTGGGGTTGCTGCAACGTTTCAGCCCGTAGGTTTGTCTCAGCACGTGGTATTTCCATGTATTTCCTAAGGGAAAAATGATAAACCATTGGGCATTTTGGGAATTCCAAATTCTCTGACAACCCCACATAACTTGTTGGGTGAAGCTTGACCACCAACCAGGACCCCCAAAGCCGGAATGTCACGGGCCGAAATTGGACACAACCAATAGATACCGCTAGATGGGTTAATTGAGCCCACAAGAATTCTGAATCAAATCGAGTCTTCTGTCACCTATAAACACAACCCCCGCTTCCCAGAGTCTCAAAATTGGTAAAGTATTTGTCATTATCTATGTGGGCACTTCACCATGGTGTTGATGCCTTACAGTTCACGTCATCTTTAAAACAATCTATATAGTTGGTCCTTTGCTCAGGACTGCAGCAAAACTAAGTGGCTTGGATGGAGCGATTCGGGCAGCGTCATACTGTAGCTGTAAATGGTGGGTAGGATGTGGGGCTGGATTGGGGGAATTTAAAAGAAAACGTGACATGCCATCCAGGGCCAAATTGAAAATGAAGTGGTCGTGATTCCGGCTTTGTCCCAACAGCCCCATTCACCCCGATTGTACCATTGCTACATACTCACGGGGATTCCACCAATGACGGGTAAATGTGGGGCTGGAAAAAAAACATTTGAGACTCAGGTTATCTCTGATTTTGGTCAGTTTGTTTTAGTTCTCAACCAAACCTTTTTTTAGGTACGTGTCACTTCTGGGGTCTATGCTCGGCTTTGTTTCAAGCTCATTTGATTGTCGCATGATTGACTTGGGACATCCTGGGACATCCTGAGACATCCTGGGCGTCCAGCCAAGGTATATGGCATTCTACCATACACCTGCCGCTTGACTCAAGATTGTCCCATCAACTCACTGATATGGCAGGGAGGAACAGCATACTTTTCTTGTATGTGAAAAGATGAAGATATATGAAAAACATTAGCTACATTATAATCAATATGTATATATATATATACCAGCAACTAATATGTTTTGGTTAAATACATTTTGTTTGCCATTCTTCGTGTCATTTGTGTAGTTCACAGTGTGTGGCATGAACTAATCGCGATCAGTATTTCTTGTTGATTGAGCCGCGTATTTCCAATGGTACTGGCAAAACTGCTAAGGTCCCCAACTTGCACCAGGGGGTCTACCAACGCACAGTCTGTGTTCTGCCTGCTGGTTTATGTTCACCCCTTGTCAAGATACACCAAACTCAGTCTTGAATTCTACTGACTGCTGGCCTGACAATGTTCATCATACTCTCATATTGAATTCTAACTTGGAAAAGCGCAAAAGTTGTTTTCGGTTGGGTTTGAACCACTGGTCAGTTTCTTATGTGAAGCAATAGCGGTCTTGGCCTAAGACAAGCCATCTTTGAGGCTGGCATTGGCTCGCAACTTCATTTGCTCGGGTCGCTGGGTTTCTGAAACTCGAGGGGGATGGGATGGGCCATCAGTTTTGCATGGTATTTGGCAAAGATATGATGCCCTATCTCAGGATTATGTCCGACTTAAGGACCTGGCCGCTAGCCCAAACAGAGCTTCCTGCTGGTTAAGTCTGTGTATAGGGATGCTCTGGATCAGTTTGTATGGAAGAGCAACTCTGTTGATTCCTACGTTGGCTTTGAGTTACCATCCCAAACTGTTGGCTATGCCTGCAACCCGCACTTATCTGACACTTCACCTCCCCAGATTGATGCCAATCTGGAGGAAACTGGTTTGCAATCAAAGGTTCAACCGGTCTACAGTGCAAACATGGCGATCCTGACGCAATGTTTGGAAGTTTGTGACGATGTACTCTTTGGTTTGTCATGACCTGATGACTTCCTAGATCTTTAGTGAGTACCAAATTGTTTGATGAATTGCCGATTCTATGGATTCCTATTGTTTCAGACTTTATGAAACAGGCAATCCCGTGCAAAATGAGCAGAAGCATGCTTTAACCGCCTAAGCTGTGGGCAAAAGATCTCAAAAACCATCAAACAATCGCAAGCGGCAAAGCCATTTGGACAGAGGACAGGCATGAGTTTTTGTTCATCAAACAATCAGAAATATTATGACAATTTGCTTCTCTGAGGGTTATATTTATGTATAATATAAAGATGTAATATCAATATATTTATTTAGATATATATACACCAAAAACATACACGTATGATGTATTATATATGTATATATACATATTATTATTGTTATTAATAATAATGTAAATATATATATATATTTACATGTCCGGAACTACAGGAACCTATTGAATTGATCTCCGAGGCCGTACTCTTTTCGTGAAAAACCGGCCTACCAGGCAAGCTTTGGCTTTGGCCATGCACTTGGGGCGCATCCTGATAATTCCAAACAAGGCGGGGCCCATGTTTTTGTGTTTCCCAGTGGCTGTTGGATTTATTATTGTGAACTGATGTTGATTCAATTTAAAAATAAGGAACGACATGGTGACATGGTGAATTACTGTTCTAACTTTTTCTGGGGTTGCGATTATAAATCCAATCAACTACAACTATCCTTTTCCTATTGGTTTGTGGAATTTATAGAAGGGAAAGCTGGTATAAGCACCCATTTGACAATCAATGTATTTGTTTATAGAAATGAGTGTGCCAAATGGTTTTTGTTTGGCAAAAGATCACGCTGCAACCACTATGGTGAGTTTCCCTCTGCGTGGGGTAGCCAAGACAATGGGGAGTCGCAGCACATCCATGGGTAGCTTGGGTGCTTCCAAAATAGAAACAGATAGAAACAAGTATCACCAACAGGTCACCAACACTGGGCACAAACAGCGGAACAAATATACAACCGGAGGTCTTCTGGCATCTTAACTCCAACATGCCGACGGAAACCATGATTTCTTCCTGGCCCTGAGCGATGTGCTCTGAAGGTGCAATTCGTATTAGCCACTTAGCCTCTGGTTATGACATCTTATGACTAACATAGCCATGGTATAGATGCCCATAGAAATAGATGGTTTAAGTTTATCTATCAAAATTTGTGATTTTCCACAGCGAACTGTTAACTAACCAGATAGTAATCCGCTTTGACATGTTTGAACCATTGCTGTCAGACCATGGTAACATCACTTCAGGACTCGCAGCGTCACTTCGAGGACCCCACGTTTTGCCCCGGCGAAGCCGGTTGGCACTGTGGCATGGCCCGTTTGGTCTCAGTTCTGCTGGACAGCTTTTTGTTGTGCACAATTTCCGCATGGGATTTCCATGGATTTCAATTTATGAAATTGGTCGTTCAGCACATTCAGCACATGAGTCTATGAGTGACATAGCAAATGAATTTGAGATTTGGTTTGAACTGGTTGACTATGAGACGTAGCCCTTCCCGAGTGCTTCTTCCTGAGGGTCCTGGTGTCAGGTTGGTTTCAGCACATCACGTGGTGCAAACCCAAAGGCGCGACTCTCCTTGGAGAGCACAGAACTTAATCATAGGAATGGTTGGTTAATGTTGGTTAATGTTGGTTAATGTTGGTTAAGTCAACCATCATTTATCAGTTATAACCAGCTATAACCCAGTGTTGAATTGTTACAACATGTTGCAACCCATATTTTTCAGAGTTGCTCCAGCCCGTTGTAGGGAATGTTTACGCAATTGACCCTCCTTGTAGCTGGGGTGTTTGGAGCAACTCTGATTTTCAAGTCTCAGAAACATGATCTTTGGAAAGAGGTAAAACCCTCCATATTTGGTGGAGTTTGCCCCTATTTCTGCTAATGAGTTTCACAGGTTATGAGTCACAACCAAGCTGCGGACGTGTGTGAATTTGTGCTGTAGGTAATTCAACTCCGAAACTGATGATAGTTGATTGGGCTCATTAACGCTCATTTATGAGGAAGACCAGACAATGACTATGTGCAGATTTTGCTTGGAGCAACCTCGCAAACTTCTCTGATGCAACATTTCCCCTAGGTTGGGCCCCAAAATTTGAGCCGTTGATTTATCATTGTCTCTTGAGCTGGTGGCGTTCCATTTGATCGGCAAGACCAAGCGTCAGGAACCTTTCTCCTCGTATCATCCCAAAAATGACGAGAACATAGTCAGTCTGGTTGGCGATTTCAAACATTTTTTTTTCCATAATATACGGGACAATCCTTCCCATTGACTAATATTTTCCAAGGTGGTTAAAAACACCAACCAGTCACTTGTTTGGGGTTGTACCTTTCTTCATCAAGAAATTATCGGGGCTAACGTGGTGAACCCGAGAATAAACAATCTCAATCTTCATGGATTAACATGAGGTTGTCTGGAAAAAAGGGTACGACCAGATCTTCGCATTATTCACAACAAATCTTGTGTTAAACTTATAGAGTTGCAATGGTTGGATTAGACTTAGTGACTATACCAATCTACACCATGTCTGGACAAACCCACATAGCTAACCCAATCTTGGAGTTATTTGGTACTGATCCATACCCACATCGAACAAATGTCACTTCACAGGCGACGTGCTGAAGATCTATGGCTTTCCAGAGCATGGTGGTTTCAAGGGGAAGGCTGGGGGGTCCACGGTCTAGTGTGGCTGAAAGATTGGAATCACCTTCAATCTATATTGTTTTAATCGAAGAATATCAGGACTCAGCAGTGGTTTTGAGGATATCCTGTTTAGAGACACACCCAATACTTGTAACTTATTGAAGTTGTTTTAGCCGATGTTGTCCACACACAGTGGTATGGTACGCCGCTATGAGGATATCTACTTGGGCAAACTACATATAGTAACCTCACCATAGATGCCGGTCAGCAAGTGGGATCTTCCCATTTTTTGGGGTCTAGGAATGAATACAGTATAATTTGCCTAGTAGTGGATAGTAGTGGTGCATTGTGGGCACGGACACGAGTCGTGAACGTCCACTTTTTGTCTTTGTGTCTTCAAGGCCTCACTGCGAGCTACCTTTGGAGCTGCCATGATAGCCCTGCAGCATTTGCTTGTCAATTGATGTGTAAATAATAGTTGATATTAACATATGATATACTACAATATTTTAGCACGGTATAATAAACTATAGTATTGTAGCCCTTATATGTCCTTATCATATACAAATATGCAGAACGGTATAAGCACTTGTGTACAGAGATGGACGATGCTGGATTCAGTGTGGATTTCACCAAGCCCACGTTAAAAACAGGACGTGCCTGAAGTCTTTCACCCGCTGCTGAAGTGTTCTCCGGTGAAACCTCGATTTTGGTTCTACTGGTGGCGTGCTCAATCCATCGCTTACCTCATTCGCTTCAATGAGAAAACCCGAAGTGCACTGGATCAACTTAGAAACTTGGACGACGCGGCAGAGGATGGGGTCATGAAACATCAATGAGAATCATGATTCTTTTCAGGGTGATATCACTATCTTTTCGGGTGGTGGTGGTATTTATTGAGCGGGGTTCACAAAAGCACTGTAAGAATTTAAGAGCTCGTGGCGACCAATTCACCTCTTTTAGGTAATTAGAAATGGGTGGTACAAACCGTCCCCAAATGGTGGGTTTCTTGTTGGCTTTAGCTCATTGACGTATTTCACGAAGTCTGGCCGCCTGGCCCATGTTTCGAGCGAGAGTCACTGGGTACTTGTTGGATGATCAAAATGTTCAAGGTTGTCCTATCAGTTTTCCATAGCAGCATTGATCAAGTTCCCAGTTTGATCAGAAATAGCTTCATGACCCAATCTCAAGGTTGGGAGCAGAAATTCTCAGCATTGCTACGGATGATGTGCAGGTTGCCATATAGGTTTCACTAAGTAGATAATTAGTTCATATTAGTTCTACAAAGAAAAGTTTTCAAACATGAATTTCATGGGTCTCTGGCAATGACCGGCAATGGCCGTGAATGTTGACCCAGTTTCAGGTTTGGTCAGCCAATCAGACACTGCTTTTGCATGTGGTTTCTCGAATGCGCGTATAGGGTCCAAATTTGCTGACAGACCATGAGACAACAAACTCCTCAGACATTTTGAGTCTAAACTCCGTAGCCAATTTCTTTGCGATGGACTCAAATTTTGACCTCTAGCCTTTTTTGCAGGAGAATCTTTCCGAGTGATGCTCGTTCTGGTATCCAGTTCAGACTTTGGATTCCAGCCTGCACTGAGGATCTGAGACGTTGTTTCAATGCAAGGAACATGCGTCTTGGACAGAAACAGGTTGGCGGGTCATTTTGCCTTTACAGTTGGACAGGGCCTCAGGGATCGTGTGTTGTTTTTACATGAGGGGACCCAAAAGATCTGTGGCCAAGTGGCCAACCCATGGTTTGGGGACGTTTGGGGTAGTTATCCCCGACTTTTTAGGCACCTACACGGTTTACATGTTTTTCTTGCTGATGTGCGTTGCTGCTTTAAGGGGTTTTCTCAAGATGCTGCTTGAAAGACTTGCGTTTTCCGTGCTAGGAATGGGGACCTCAAACCATTGAGGTCAATGGTGTCAAAATCACAATCGTTGTTTTTCGTTCAATACGCAACAAGTCCGTGAAATGGGTGTGGCTCCAAACGGGGCGTACACAGTGCGTCAATCTGTGTTGAATTTTTGATCAATGAGTCAATGATGTCAAACCAATCCCAAATGGGTTCCTTAGGACCTATAGGGTACATCAAAATCAATTGGTTTACATGATTTTTCCCATTAAGACTTGCCATAAACTGAGGGAATACCCTGTTTTCAGAACCATCCTGTATCGCTGGTTGATTTTCATGTATTTTCACCATATCCCATGATATTCCCATTCTGCCCGGTTAGAGTTGTATCCAACGTTTTGCTGGAAAAATGGTTGTTGTGCCGTTATATCCCGATTTTTCGTGATGATTATTTCCTGCTTTCCCTGGTGATACCCCATGACATCCAGTTATATTCCATGATACCTCCAAATTGTCTTGGTCAAATCCAAAAAAATGTTGGTAAACACGTTACCCCCCAGATTTATCCCCGGTAAAATCCACATTATTTATGGTTGAATCGCTATAGAGTGCTGGGTTTTGCTTCCAAACGTTGTGAGGTGAAAGCGAAGGTTTTGGAGCCTGGAACGGTCTCGGCACACGTCCGTCATGGCTTTAAGCTTTGGGAGGCGAAGATCTTCGATTTTGAGCCATAGATCCCTGCTAGTGAGGAAAAAGTGATATGATTTTCAGAGATTTTGAGTGCGATTTTTGTTGGAACGGGCTTGGACATTTTCGTTTTTTTTATGGGATATTCTTGAAATGTAACTGCAAGGGCTTTTTCTAAATCACCCTTCGTTGCTAAAAAGTTCGGTGGGTCCCTCGCGAAGGATCTGTCAGGAAACCGGTTACGTGGATTGACCTGGTTCCATAAATGGTGCCATTCCCAAGCTCGCTGGATGGTTTATTTCATGGAACATCCCCCCCAAAAAAATATTTAATTGGATGATAACTAGGGGTACCCCCATTTTTAGGACACCTCCATATTCAAGAATTAGGTTCATACGTTCATCATAGGGACAATGTCCCATAAAACCTGCTTGCCGGTTCATCCCACGGATCGTTAGTATAAGGTGATATCCCTGGATTTCACTGCGATGAACGAACCTACTAAGCCTTACCGTTCATGGCATTAAACCCCAAGTCAAAACTGGAATCGGGGATAGTTGTATAATTGTGATTAATTGTGGCAAGAGCCCGGGGGGTTGGAGACTTGAAAAAATATGTCTGCTTATGCAAATCTTCCATATGCAAGGATATCCCGAGGACTTTTATGTTTGAATCACATCCTATCACATGCTATCTGTTGTGGGCCTAGAAATACTGCAATCGATCAACCACTGCTGGGGCAGTGCGTCTGTTCTGATGGAAGCTGCGAGTGACCATAGTAAAGATTGACAATACTAACATTTTTTTGGACCAAAGGAGGCCAAATTTGGAACAACTACTGTAAGAACCATTGATACATGTATAGTTAACACATATCCGTCCTGGTTTGGAGTGAACTTGATGTTTCTAAACGATTAATTTGAAGGATGCACAACCCCCCGCAAGACATCAAATATGGCTTCTGAAGTTGGTAAGCAAAAGGCTCCATTTCGCATCATAGCCAGCACCCTTTCGAAGCGTTCTAACCTGTCATCCTTGGGCCAGGACTATGTCGAGCAGATGGATGCGCTAGCTGCCGGAAATCAGAAGCTCCGAGTCCTTTACAAAGAAGTGGCGGAAAGCAACACCAGTGGCTGAACCGCAAGGGCGAACTTGTTTTCTTGTTCTGCTAGAGTGTTGCTAAATGTGTGTCAGTGCCCTTGACTGAATTTTGTGTTGCTCCTGGTGCTATTTACTTGAGTAGGAGCATGATCTTAGTTGAAGAGAGTTGACCAGCTATCAGTGCGCCTTTTGAAAGTTCAAGAAACAGACCCCAGCTATCGGCTTCGCTTTGTATTGGTGGAGCAAGTGATTCAAATCTGAAGAACCCCTGGACACAAAGTGAAAACATGCGAAAGCAACGTTGTTACTCTATAGAAATCAGGAATCAGGATACTATGTTTTGAATGCAGCGAACGAGTACACACGGATGATGAGCTACATTGCAGCTACATCTTGAGTTGCAATCATCCAGGCTGTTTGTTTCTTGAACTTGGCTTCGACATGGTTTGAGAGGGTACCCAAAAATATGATGGTTGACTACGATAAATATTTGGTGGTAGCAGCAATGTATGTTTATTTGGTATGTATACAGATTATGTAGTATACGAATATTATATATAATTATACATATATAACATATATATATATATTAGTATACAGCAATGGAACAGCAATATATGCATATTTGTCGGTGTTTGACAGGGGCAGCAGTGTGGCAGTGCCTTGATCCTGATCTCAGGTTTCAGCTTTCCCCTCGAAGCCTATGCGAGGAGAGCGGTCTTCCTATCCACGGAGGATCCGCTGGTGGTGGTGGAGGCACGGTGGGCTGCACACATCAAGTTAAATCCAGTAATATGATCAAGTCATATCAATTCGGTGACAACTGATTCACATTAATTTGGATATGCATAAAGATTACGTCTGATTACGGTATACGGTGGGGTTGGATGGGTTGGAAGTTCTTCGGGTCTTAGCATTGATGCTCAAGGATCTGAGATTGGCTACAAAAAATGGAAAGCAAAGAAAATCAATGCCGGCAAAGATCAGCTTAAACATCAGACTCATCAGACTTCACTCAATTGATCTTGGATGTCTACTTATTATATGTGCTGTCATGTTGCTTTCACATCAGACAAAGTGCTTTCTCCCTTGTGTATATATAATTATATATTTATATAATACTCATGATTTGTACATATCACACACACACATATATATATTATTAATATATACATACACATACACATACACAGTACATAGTATTGTATGTATATGACTTCCCAGCAACTTGTGACCACTCGACCCAGCGACGCAAAAATTATTTAAAAAAAACTAGCCGCTTGCCAGGCATTGAAACTCTGTGCTGCAAAGGATCCTTGGAAAGTGATCTACACCAAAGCAGACCGGAACAACAAGGCGGGGCCCAGATGGGCCCATATGGGGCCCAGATGCTGTGTCATTTGCTGCTGGTTGGTGGTTTCAAACATGACTAATTTATGTTCCATTTCATACATGGGATGTTATCCTTCCCATTGACGAACTCATATTTTTCAGAAATTTGGCTCAACCACCAACCAGGCTGTTTTTTTTCATGAAATCCGGGAGACGGTCAAAATTTCATAGGAAATAACTCACGTGGTTACACAAGTTATAGTTTAACAGTATATGTTTGACTGATCCAATCTGATGGGGTTAAATATGGTTGGAACATAGGATTACCATCAGTATATTGGTTAAATCTAAACCCAGCTTGAAACCATACTGTATTTCGGGGTGAACATCCAGCGGTTCACTAGCTGATGTTCACCAGGGCACCAGAGTTTTGGCGCCAGCGACAGGATTCCTGGATGCATGTGGAAAAACGGGGAGCTGCACGATTCTTGGCATTGTCAATGGTCCAAAATCGGAACCAAAATCGGAGGTCAAATCCCCACATTTGCCAACTAAACATATAGTAAGGCACAGTAGATCCAAATAATTGGGTCCTGAAATTCCCACTGAATTGTGATGTTCAATGAAGAGAGCTTGGAGTTCACCTAAATATGCAGAGATTGTTTCCCCTGTTCGTGTTAAATACACCTCAAACGAAATGCCAATGACTTGGGGGCCCATATTCGGGGTATATGAGGTTAAGCTAGTGGGACTAGCTATACATACGTGGTTTTGAGATGTTAATATGTGTTTATTAATATGTTTACAAATTCCAAGTTCGAATCCCATTTAATTGTGCAGGTTGTTTTTGTTTCCCAGTTCAGTTGTCTCAAAATTTGGAGTCCACACATCACATGAAGTTATACCAAATTTGATACACTTTGTTATGAACATGCCATTTTGGGGAAAATTCCGAGGAAGAGAAGTGATGCTAGCAATGATGAACTTGGAATTGGCACTGGAGCGGGCTACAGGGTATGATCTGGTGCAACAAAAAGAGCTTATACAAGGGTACCTGAAACTTGGGAAATGGCTACAAGTCTTAAACTCATTGGTATATAGATAGTTGCAGTATAATTGATATATACACACCAAGTAATTATTTGGGATACATATGTGTATTGTATATATATATATATATATTATATTTATATATACATATTAAACAAAACATATTATAATTATTAGAAGCACAAATGGATATCATGACTATGCCCAAATTTGATAACTGGACAACAATAACCATAAAACCGGTGAATATATTGATGATATTTGGATATAAATTGAAAATAATCTATATGTTTGTGGATCATTACCATTGGATCATTACCATAATGATATGACAGTGGCATTGCGACGTTCCAAACCTTGCTGTTGGTTATCTGACACATATTTGGAACGTGAGAACCCCGGCGGCTACAATGGTATGTGTTGATTTCTATACACATATGCCTGTATGTAAACATTTTCTATATATATATATATATACATACGCACATAGATATGTTTGTTTCCATTGAACATTTTTCCGGTTTTGTGAAATTTGATCTCAATGACTCAATGAACTATTCCTGAAGCAAGCGCCCTGGACCACCCTTCGATTTGTTTAGTTTCGTTCATATTTTTCCTGTGTTTTTTTTGTGTATTTCTTGCATGTTAAATTCTGATGCGTTTTAGTCAGAAGCTTGTCACACCAGTTCTTGGTTTCCCTTGGGTTAAATTACTCATTGACGAAAGAACATCTGAACCAGAGTAAGAAGTTTCCCCTTTTTTTTGGGGGGGGGAACAGTTTGTCTTTTGTTAACACCTAAGCCAAGTAAAAAAACATCATCTAGAGTTATGGCCATTTACCAGTTATAAGTACTTATAGCCCCATTTATAGATTGCATAATCCCATTTATAACCAGTTATAACTAATGGCCATAACTGCAGAGTTTTATAACCTTTTCAACGTTTGTTTGTTTGGCCTGAACCACCATGGTAATCACCTGAGACCACCAGGAGGCAGACGCCTGGGTTTGCACCTTGACATCCAACTGGTGTCGCTTGATCGATGAACTGCGGATGACCATTGCCTTGATCCTCGGAGGGTTCACCGGTTCACCCATGGGAATCTGGGAAAAATGACGTGGTTCAAACAACGTGAACGACATGTTTGTTTACATCTTAGCGTTTACGTCTTGAAACATAGGGAAAGTAGTTCTAAGAGGGAAATTGATGATCAATATACAGCTGAAGTTCCATTAATTTTGGAGTATACAGCTTACACCCTGTTATCACACAAAGCCATGTTGATCTACGCCACATGGATCCATGGGAAGGATGGATTTGTTCTTCCGGGCACCTTTACGACATCCAAGGAAGGCTTCGCATCCATACCTCAGCTTGTCCAAAGTGGTCAAGACCTGTAAGTCGCGCTTGGGACTTCCGAAGCCCGAATGTGGCTCGACTTAACTGGGAAAGCTGAACAGCTCATTTGTTTAAACAGTACCCATAGCGAGGTGATTCAGCCTTATTTGACTGCGGCTCAATAGGTTGGATGCCCAACAGTAGAGACTTGACTAAATACTACAATAAATGCATTTGAGCCATTCGCAGGGTCTATTAGTACCCAAGTAGATAGTAATGCCAAATTTTGAGCCGCGCCAGTACAGGAACGATGGTGCTGCTGAGAGTTTTTGAGAGGATCATTGAATATTATGCTATATTATTCCCTCAAAGATACAACTATGTCTTCCTGCGTTTCAAGACTTTAAATCTCAATCAATGTGATGTCACTTTTATATAATTGAATTGATGGTTTCATGCCCACAAAAAATATCATTCTCATCAATCAATGGAGGTGTCGTCGTGTCGAAGTGAGGTTACCTGGACTACTGACGTCCGATCTGGCGCTGGAAAAAGTGCTGCGGTGTGTCCCAGTTGATACTCGTAGGACAAGATGTAAGGATTTATAGTCGATTTATGATGTCTAAGTGGGTAGCAGATACATAGTGGTTCATGGTTGATGATGATGGTTTGTAATATGTTATGGTTAGTAAAAATTGTTACTAATGGTTTATAACTTATAACTTATAACGGCAATACCTCGTGGATTTATGGTGGAGGTTCCTCTACAGTTGTCTCAACCTTCGAACCCAAATTCCCCATGGTTCCATGGTCATAAAGTTTCTGAAGTTATCACTTGGAGATTCCTTATTTTGAAATACACCCAAATGAAGGACATCCAAATTTCATATATAGTCAAATCATATAAATTCCCTTGTTTGCTAACATGTTTATAGCGATGATTTCTGATGGTTCCCAGCATGTTTGTTCCCACTTCAAAAAAAAACATCCCACTTCCCGAGAAAACGCAGCGGCACCCAGGTGGCTAAGAAGCTTGGTGGATGGGAATGGGGGGGTGCTGGCGTGGCGTTGGCACTGAATCCACTGGTCTATTGAGAGTGGTGCCGCATGGCTATGTTTGTTGGTCTATGAACCGATCAAACTATAGTTAAACCTATGTTAGAATCACCAAAAAACAACAGTTGAGCCGGTTTAGTTAAGCTTGTTATTTCAACTAGCTTAGCGAACTATCGGGTAAACCAACTTGTTTGACATATCCCCGTCAAGACATGCATACAGTTTCTCATCTGAGCCACGTTCAAAACTGCCGGCAATTGATTTTAGTATTCGGTGGAATTTATTCTTTGAAAAATTGAATGGTGCCACACGCGCGCAAGCTTTTCACAAGCTTCGCGCAAGCTCATGTACGCGCAAGCTTCGCGCAAGCCCGAAATCGCGTAGATAATTGAAACCTCAATAAATGAATATACTACGAAAAGGGTTACACAACATAATGGGACGAGACGAGATGGGTGACGAGTTCCGTTGCTTCCTTGTTGCATTGTTTGCTTGGTATGTCGGCCCTCTGGCTTGCAAAGGTATAATCAATTTAAGTAAACAAGATTTTGAATGGATGCCATGGATTTTGAATGGTAATAGGCCATGGACATGGAGTTAAATTGTTGCGTGTAATCTTGATTCTTGACCCTTGAAGATTTCAAACATCCTGAATTTTCTGAAGGTTCGCGCAAGGTTCGCGCAAGCAAAGGGGTTCCTGGCCACTGTGCCCCACAGAAGCCGGTAGCAAGATGATCGTAGACTCACCATACTGGCTACATTTTGCTACTATGCTCTTTCTGAGCCGGACAATAAGCAAAACCATTGCACGGGAGCAATGCCACTGTACTCAATGTACTCTGGCTCAAGGCCATACGCTCACAGGAGGCATTCAGGGACCACACGCTGGCAAAATAGGAACTTCGTTGATTGGAGCCTAGAAGTCGAGAAGCCACCGGACAATCCAAGAAGTCGAGAAGCTGAGAAACCACCGGACGAGCCGAGAATCTGAGAAGCCAAGAAACCCAAGTCCGAAATCAGCTTCGTGCCTGCATCGCGCAAGCAAAATTGCACCAAATCTCAGGAATTCATCTTCGCGCAAGGTCGCGCAAGCTCAGTTTGAAAAATTGACCGCGCGCAAGCTCCCATTGTGGTCGCGCAAGGATTTCGCGCAAAGATGAAAAAATCCATTCAGTTTTAATTGAAGTTTTGAACACCGCTCATCTGGATAGTTGTGAATGTTGCTCATTTTCACTGAATTGATGATGTTGACTTGTTTGCTAGTTCTATGACTGATGGTCATCGCAACTGGAACAACAGGGGCTAGCTTACGCTACATATTTGCAGTATACATTTATGATGTTTATTTTACGAAGCCCCTTTGTTCCATACGCCCGGAACACCGCGGAACGTTCCATACACTTTTTTTGACTCAGCCATTTCCTTCCGCCTTGGGACATTGGCAATTTTTGTAGTGATATATCATGATAATTATATTGGTTGTTCAGTTCACCAATTTCCCTGAAGGCAAGCATTGAATATTCACCACACGGCTCCATTTATCATCATCATGCGATCAGGTAAACGCAACTCTCGGATTCACCAAGACTGCCAGCTACCGTGCAATTCATCAATTTTCCCGATTTGGTTGGGGTTCTGTTTTGGTTTGTATCGACAAAGTGATTCAAAACATTGACCTTGTCCGTACCTTTGGCGCCTTACATGAGACAATGGCATCGACATCGCCGCTGGGCACATGCAGGCGCGGGGTGCAACGCATGTTTTGCGAGTTTCTTACTGGCAGGTACTGTTCACCCAGAAAAAAAACATGGCAATTTGCGGGAATAAGTGTAAAACGAAGAGTAAGCGTATTGGATGATTTTGCGCGTTGCCTTGGTTTTGGCGCTGATTGTTGATATATTAGTAGTGCTACCGGTCGCATCCGGTCGCTATTTGTTAATGGGCAGTACATATACCTGGAGTCGGCACCCCCGGGCACCAAATTTGTGCACCAAAATGTTGAATATTCCCCGCCCAAATGATCCGCAGGATGGTTTGCAACCGGCGTTTTCCTGCTGGGTGGCATATTTCGGACCGTGCCGCCACTTCTTTCGACACCAACTGTGTGGAGACTTGGGTGCAAATTTGCGTCAGGAAACAGCTGTATCAATATTTAACCGGATGCACGGGGTACGTGTTTCGGGCATGTTCACACTGCATGTCAATAATTCATTTGTTTAAAGTGTGTGCCAGAAAGACGTGCTGTCAGTCCAAAAATGTCAGGAAATACGAACCGCCAAAGTATGCGCACCTGGCAGTGCGCAGTGCCCCGGAACAAGCAGCACAAACTACAGGCCTTTGATGGACAATTTGTCGGTAAGGTACAGTAGTGATTCCATGATTTGTGGGTAAGGTTACTATTCCATGTGACGCAACTGGTTTCCACAATCTGCATGCATGATCCCGTTCAACCTTTGCGTGGTTTGTGTTGCACCTTTGTATGAATCACACTTCCGGGCGCGACCATGTTTTGAACATTTTGTTTGTTGGCGTCAGTTGTGGAATGTGGAGTAAATTAGTCATTTTCGAACTCATTCCATATGGTGCGCGGTGTTGCAAAGCAACCAGAACTGCAAGGGAAGTCACTTGCCAAGCATATGTTTCAGGTATGGCCGACTTGAACGGCAGCACGACGGCATAGCTGCATATAGCATAGCAGTGAACACTATTCAAGTACACATTCAAGTCAGTCTTTGTTTGTGGTAGTAATCCAACGGTTTGCATTGTTGACGGTGCTGGCGCGGAGGCAACGAATTGAAACCTGGAGAGGTTTTCGAAGTGCAAGGTGTCAAGGAGATCTGATTATTTTGTTTGTGCTTTGGCGCCATTGAAACCAAGAAGTGCTTGACTGCCCGAGAGCATTCGTATTGCAATTTTTACCGAGATTGAAATTGTTTTTCAAATGTTACCCCTTTGTTATTTACGTGTTCCTGGTTTTTTTGTTTTGTCCCTCTCATGTCGTCGTGCGGTCTCATGTGTAACATGCGTTGCTGGCGTTCAATCCGCGGTAGATCGCGGTAGGCATTTGCGCGAGTCTTCTTCACGTTTAGCACAAGCATATACAAGTATTGTTCTGCAAACAAAAGGTTTTTTTTGAGGAAAGGTACCATCTAAATGAGTGTGCGAGACAGATCCTATAAACCCATGTCATGATGGTGCCATGTGCTTTTTTGCCCCCTCACAGATCAATAGGTGTGTCCCTAAATGTTTCGAATTTGTTTGTGACACATTGAACATTCCACATAGTGTCCAAGACAAAGATGCACGAAGTGATTGACGCGTGGTGTCAGTCAACACCCTGGCCATCCTTTGCCATTCGTTTCACCTTTTGCATGTTTGAAGATATGCAAGTGCAAATGCCAGGGCATAGGCCGAATACATTGAATACATGCTTTGCAGCGTATGCAGAGCAGTTTCCAATGGAGCACACAAATCCACAGGCATAGGAGTCACGAACAATAAAAGCAATCCTACAATGTAGGAAGTGTTCACCTATTGTTCAGTGCCGGAGATCGTTGCGGTTCAATAATTCACGTGAGTTGTATTGTGTCTCATTACCTTGCAAGCAGATTACAATGTGATGACGAAGGGGTTTGCCTTGTAGATTTTTGAAGTTGTTCAAGGTGGCTCATTGCCCCAGAAATCTCGAGCTAATCATGTTTTTGGCGCGGTATGAAAACGCATCAATTTCCAAGCAATTGGTGCCCATGAAATTGATCAACGCATCCATGCATTCGAGGGAAAAACATTGCTGCAATCTACGTAGTTTAACGCGCACTGTCGGCAGCAGCTGCAACACCTGCCAGAGGAGGTTGGCAAGTCGACATTCCTGGAGCTGGCAGATGGCAAAGGCAGCGCAGTGCGTCCGGAAAGACAACGAACAAAAAGCAGGGTTACTGTAGATAGCCTTCATGGTCCTCATGATAGATTAGTTTTTGTTTTTAAAGTTTAGGTGCTATGTTTGGGAACGATTTCCGGCGAATGTTTCTGACACGTTTTGTAAAATAAAAGGTTTGATGTCGCTAGCCCAGTGCAAGGTTGCAACACCAAACCAACGCATTGCTGACATGTCAGTGGTGGGCCCAGCCGCAGGCTGGATTCTGGCGGCCTCGCCAGTGCTGGGCACGATTTGCATTCCACATGGAGGCAGAGCCATCACACCAAAATTGATCAACCAATGGTTCAGTCGTGTTTCGGATTGTGGGTTTCGACTGGTTTCGATGCTTTGGCAATTTAGTTGAATGGGAGCATCGGTATATAGAAAGCACATTTAGAACCCGAAAGCAAAAAGACCAGATAATTGGTTGAGCGAGATGGTTTGGGAGCTACGTATGTTTTGCATTGTTGTTTTCTGTAGGTCATCTCATGGTGAACATAGTTACCCTCAACCACTCAGGGTTTCAAGGCCCGTACCACAATCATAGCTGAAACATGCTGAGACTATATCAAAATCATAACTGCAAAACCAGGCCAGAAACAAACCATTACAGCAAATCATATCTGAATCATATATCAAAATCACAAAAACAATTATTTTGGAAACCCTCCATCCTAGAGCCTGCTGATGTGTTAATTCTAGAAGAAGGTAGCAAGGTGATTTCAAAACATGCCTGGTGTGATGCGCATGAGAAGGAATGAAACAAATGCATACACATGCAACAAAACAAAAACATGCATGTTCAATGGTTTTACATCCTCGAAGGATTTACAACATGCCCCTATGTAATATTAGTTTTAAAAACACGGTCCCAGTTATCCCCATTATGAAAATAACAGGGTATGGGCAAACATGGGAAAACCGTTTCAAACCCCAAAGAAAAGCCTAACTAGACCTTTGGCTTGCCGTAAACATAAAGGTATACATTTGTTTGGCAGGCAGGTGTGTTTTTGAAGGAAAACCAAAAAACAAACCTATCTCTTCAAGATGATTATTCACCGAGGAACCCCCCAGGTAGTTGGCGGTATGAACATACATCATTTCAACCACAGGGAACCATTGAGATTGAATTGTCACCTTTCCTGAACCCTCTTTGTCACATCCAGTCTCCACAAAGCAACAAAGAACCGTGTTTTTTTCATCTACCCACACCTTAACGTCACGGAGATAAATCTCGATCTTGAATGTCCGATTGGCAACGCCAATGTTTGCTAAACCGTTTTGTTGCCCGAAATCATTGCCAACATTCAATGCCAAAATCACTTATTTCATCAATTTTTCATTTTTTTCAGTCTATTAGTTTGCAATCAAATCCCCACACATCTGCCGCATTTTTCTGAGGTTTCACCCTTTGGCGTTTCCAACCTCCGCAGCACCGGCCCTTGGACCTCCGCGCTGCGCCAACGCTGAGCGCCGCGCGCACGGGACATCGGTTGCTGCCGGGAATTCGGTGCCTTGGTGAGGGGGAGAATCCATGGAGGAAGTGATTGGATGAAATTAAGCGTAGGCTTTGACCGGTAAAAATTAATTCGACACGGACTTTTGAGCAATCATATGTTTTCATGCTCACCAATTCTTTAAAATCAAACCTATCCAACCATTGAAACATGTAAATTTAGCAAAAGTCTAGGATGCTTCAGCTTAAACCTAAATAGGGGGGTCTGGCAATCAAACCAGAAACACATGTGGAATCGATAAAGTTGGTTGTGTCTTCAGATATGTTTTTTCACTTGCTGAATGACGGACATGATTGTAAAGGATTGAAAGGGCAGGTTTGTGACATTTCGGACCCCCAGCTGACAAGTTTCCCTCAGGAAGAGATTGAAGTCATCACAAAATTAAGTTTTGCACCGTAACCTTTGGGATACTTTTATTGAAGCAGTTTGGTGATATGTTTTCTCCCAACTAGCAGGAGCGCACGGCCAAAAGCACCAGAAACATATACCTTTAGATAGATCCTGTAGCTAGATTAGATAGATAGATAGATAGATAGATAGACAGGATAGGATTGGATTGGATTCGATTAGATTAGATTAGATTAGATAGATAGAATAGGATAGGATTGGATTGGATTGGATTGGGTTGGATTAGATTAGATTAGATTAGCTAGATAGATAGGATAGGATAGGATAGGATAGGATAGGATTAGATTAGATTAGATTAGATAGATAGATAGACAGATAGATAGATAGTTAGATAGATAGGATAGGATAGGATAGGATAGGATTAGATTGGATTGGATTGGATTGGGTTGGATTGGGTTGGATTGGGTTGGATTAGATTAGATAGATAGATAGACAGATAGATAGATAGCTAGATAGTTAGTATTAGATAGATAGATAGGATAGGATAGGATTGGATTAGATTAGATTAGATTAGATAGATAGATAGACAGATAGATAGATTAGATTAGATTAGATTAGATTAGATAGATAGATAGATTAGAATTAGATTAGAGTAGATGAGATAGATAGATAGATTAGAATTGGATAAGATTAGATTAGATTAGATCAGTTCAGTTAGGTAGATAGATAGATGGATCTATTGACAGATAGAGAGATAGAAAGAGTTGGATAGAGAAAGATAGAGATGGATAGAGATCGATAGAGATCGATAGAGATAGATAGAAATAGATAGTCAGATAGATAGAGATAGATAGAGATCGATAGAAATAGGTAGAGACAGAAAGACAGAGATAGATAGAGATAGATAGAGATAGATAGAAATAGATAGAAATAGATAGAAATAGATAGAGATAGATAGAGATAGATAGAGCGAGGGAGAGAGAGAGAGAGAGAGATAGAGAGAGAGATGGAGAGGGATAGATAGATCGATAGATAGATCGAAAGATAGATGAATAGAGAACAAATGTAGACAGACGGACAGACAGACAGACAGATAGATAGATAGGTATGATAGATTGCTAGATAGCTAGATAGCTTGATAGATTGATAGATTGATTGATAGATATGTTACGGTTTGTTTTTTTCTTAAGGTCGAATTCTGTGGCCGGCTTAGCTGGTTGAGTCGGCGCTAGATGATTCATACCGAACACAAGATTCACATGGAACTTATGGCCGACCTACTTAAAAATTGGGAAGCGCTCAACTTGATGCTTCCCAATCAAGTGTGGGATGTTTTGTTAATTTCCCACGCGCACACACACATGGACGAACAAGTTGTTTGCAAAAAAAACGCAAGCGCGGATAGAACTTGCAGAATCAAAATGCACAGGAAATGGGCCAACCTTCCAAGGAGTCAGTCATGCTACGGGGCATTCCCGGGCATCTTAGTAATTAGTATGTTTGAAATCAGTTTACAAACCTGCATGTCGCCAACGTCAGCTGCCATCCTTGGGGCGTTTTTGATGGGCAGAAAGTCGCACGGTTTTTCATCATGTGAGTGACATGCGTGGATGTTTGTCAGCGTTTAGCGTTTGTCAAAGATACCTTCCGTTAATCGAACTTCGGGATGACAAATCCCTTCCTCGTAGGTAAATGCCCAGTGGTTTTGCAATAAGTTCTGTATTTCCCACCATCCGGGTACGTCCAACCCAAGCTGCTTCTGTAAGCCCCAATAGGTTTCGGTGCGTGCGCGAAGTGGCCGAGGGCGGCCAGCGTTTTCTGGAATTGGACACTGGCGAGGGCTGGGCGTTTGATAAGGCCAACTTCTTTGAGACACCGAAGCCCTTATTCATATGTCATGGCATGGGATTCACCGCGCCCACTTTGTGTTTCAACAAAGGCACATCGAACTTAAAATCAGTACATATACAGATCAGTGACAATATTCAACAGTCGTTTGAACATGTCCATGTTGTCTCATTGCAGTTTCATTGTCAATCCATTTTGAAAGTGAAATGTCCACCTACCACCTTCCACACCCTACACCCTGCAGGCCTTTGGGCCGGCTGGAGCTATCCGCCTCTGCCAGCGTGAACAATCCCTTCACACGGCCAAAGTTGCCGAAGAGGTCGCGCTGGGAATTGCATGGATGCATGGCACCCAGTTGTTGTAGTGGCTTGAAACCATGTGATTTTTGTGATTTACATGTTTTATTTGTGTCTTTATGCGTTTATATATATATACACAGAAAATGTGTGTATATATATTAAGTTGTTTTTTATATTTAGTTTTCATTTCTTGGCATGTGCTTGTATAATTTGTATACATATATTTATAAATATGTATAACATGCAGGAAAGCTAAACATATTTCTGTATTTAGGTAGATAGAGAGGCAGATAGATAGATTGGATAGATAGATAGACTAGATAGACAGATTAGATAGATAGATAGGTAGATAGATGGATGGATGGATGGATAGATAGACAGGCAGACAGGCAGATAGATAGATAGATAGACAGGTAGATAGATTAGATTAGATTAGATTAGAATAGATGGATAGATAGATAGATAGATAGAGAGAGATGTACAGATAGACAGACAGACAGACAGACAGACAGATAGATAGATAGATAGATAAATAGATAGAGAGATGCACAGATAGATAAATAGATAAATAGATCAATAAATAGAGAGATAGAAAGAAAGATAGATACATTATCCTTTGTATTCGTCTATATGGTTTTAAGTCTTTAGGTCTTTTTGAAGTGTTGTTGTATACTTATGTATAACTGTATAACTATATTTTTTCAAAAATATATAGGTAGATTGTAGTACATGTAGTTACATGCTACAACGTCAAACCCCGCACGCACAGCCTTAGACGAAACACGCTGCTTAACGATGCAATCTCCTCTCATTAACTTGTTTTCTCAATGCTTTCTTGTGCCCAGCTTAGATAAGCATCAAATCAATTTCACCCCTCCAAGCATGAAGAAGTTCCTTGAAATCACGTATTTGCCCCGAAGAACTTGCAGTGCCTTTCGTCTATATAGGTGGTATCACATCAGTAGCTTACCCTCTTCATTTGGTTTACCGTGCCATGTCATCAAAACCGTACAACCATCGTACCATCCCGTAGCCCCAAACCATACACAGTACCGTACTTCCAATGGCACCTAGGTTTCAGCCTCATTTTCACACCTACTTTGAAAATCTATAATGCATGCATGCATGCATGCATGCATGCATACATACATACATGCATACGTACATACGTACATACCTACATACCTACATACCTACCTACCTACCTACCTACATACCTACATAGCTACATACCTACATACGTACATACTTACATACGTACATACGTACATATATTCACAGACACATATACAATTACATGTGCATATACATGTACATTTACATTTACATCTACATGTACGTATGTACATACATGTACATACACATATACATATACAATTACATGTGCATGTACATTTACCTTTACATATACATACATGAACACCAACATAAATCATAAATATTTTTATGGCATAAACATAAATATATACATATACATATACAGTATACATTTACCTGCATACATACCTATAAGCATACATACATACATCCATATATCCATACATGTGTATACATATACATACACATTCACATTTACATCTGCATATGCATGTACATGTATCTTTACATGTGCACATGCTTTTACAAATGCATTCGCAATTATTTTTTTACACATAGATGACATACATGCATGTATACATTTTTTGTATATATGTATACATGTATGTTTCAACATAAATAGCTAATTTACAGTAATATATGTATATGTGCGTGCGTGCAAATCTATAGCATACATAGTTGGAGATAACATTTGTAACCACAGCCACGTCATTTAGAAAAAACAATACATGTTCACAATAAGTTGCCCATTTATTGCCTTCAGCCCAATACGATTGCTGGCCACTTGATGGGAAGCAACCGAGGTCATCTGTTTCTGGTGATTGTTCCCCAAATCCACGTGTGCAAACGCTGGATGACATCGGCAAGTGGTTCATGCCCTATGTACACACGGGTGTTGTCTTCACCTACAATTTCGAAATCCCTAGTAGCCCTATAGATTTGGGTTCAATTCATGTATAACAGGTTGATAGCACCCATGTTTCAGGAATTTGTAGGGTCAAGGTGCGCAACCCACCAGGAGAGGCCGGCAATTCCGGCGAATCTCCTGGAACCTCCGCTTGTCCCTCGGCACTGGATTTGGAACAAGGTCAGAAGGTGGTCGCAATCAATGCATATGATATATGATATATCAGACCATTTTTTTATATATGATATATGTTGATATATATATATATATTTGTATTTGTATCTATGACAATTTTCAAAAACTGTCAAAAACACTAGAAACCAACAATCAATACACATCATTTCACATCATTACCTGGTAGACCGAACAGTGAACCTCCGAGTGAGAAATGGCCTCTGTCACCCATTTCTGCGAAATTGCAGATAATTCATTTTTGGGTTTACCACATTATACTGCATGTGGTTGGTGTGCGTTTGTATTTTGATGTGATTGGTCCTTTCCTAATTGCGACGAAGGATCAGATTGACAATCGATCACATTTTTCAGCAAAGTCAATTGAAAAAAGGGAAACGCAATTCCCATCCGTACAGCAGAGGTGCGGGATATATGTCCTATGGCCTTACGATTATTACAATCCTCGATGTTTGTTCCCATCCTTCTCTTGTTGCCAGTCACCTTCTTTGACGGCGCTGCGATGTCACCATTTCCAGCCGCCTGCAGAGGTTGCAGCAAAGACTGCGCTAAAACGTGTTCCAGTGAAAGAACTTTCCTTGGGCCAGCAGTTGAAACTTGACAATTTGAGATCTCATTAGGCGGTTGAGGCAACCTTTGGATGTTTTCTCATGAAAATGGGCATCTTTGGTCTCACTTGATGGTAGCAACCGCTGAAGCTTGAGGTGATCTTAAACCATGGACCACCAGGTGGCACTGCAAAGCATAGCTGGATCAGTATCACTAGCTGCACCAACCGCATGGGTTTTCTCGTTACTTTTTGTAAATGGAGTGAGGTGGTAATATGTACACGGTGTAGAGTAGATGACCTGCGGTTCCTAGATGCTATCTGAATATCTGATCTTTCTTTGCGAGTTGTCCGACTGCCTTCCCTCATGTTTAGGATGCGTTTTTGAATTGTGCGACCCGCTCGAGCTGGCATATGGCATTGCATGGCCATTAATCTGAGCTCTGCATGTCAAGGGTGCTGGTCCCACCGAGGACTGGCTACGTGTCCAGCATCAGCAATGAAGGCGACGAGTTTTGGGTACAGTGATGCATCTTGAGGTGTTTGGCCAGGAACGTTTCTAGCTATGATTTTGGGGTTTATCCACGTGCGCATGTTGTCCCGTGTATGATTTTGGTTCGTGCATATTTATTGCATATTTACCGGGATTTACCTGTGCCTGTATGTGCTCACATTCTTCCGTGCATACGTGCCTGGACTATGATATTATGATTCAGAATTGGTAAGGGGCACGCACGATGACTGTCGCTGATTGCGAGGTCACTTGGGGTTTGGTACGTGCCTATATGATGATGGGCAATGAACATCCACCAATCCACATGCCCGGGTTTTGATGCATGGCCATTAAACCCCTGAAGCATGTCCAATGGGTGACGCATGCACATGTACTAAAATCATGGGGAGCCTGGATTTCAGCAGCATAGTGGCCTTCCATTTGATTTGGTTCTAGCTTGTTTTATTTTGAGACATCTTGAACCATCTTGAAACGTATTTTTCGGGCTCGGGGGCACAAAGTGCAAATAGCCAGAACATTGTTGAAACAATGCCATATACCTTCGAAGCACCCGCAAGAATGACTTGTTGTCATCCATGTTTAATGTTTATGACAAGTTTGATGGTACCCCAGATCTGCCAACAACATTCCTACTCTGGGAGGTTCCTCTCTGAACCATTGCTGACATTACGTTTGTGTCTTCATGTCATGCATATCCTTTCATTCTGAGTTCAGTCACCAACACCTTGACACCCAAAATACGCATCAGAACAGACAACGCTAAATGTCAGAGATCGAGCAAAGACAAAAAACTCATTTTGATCACTTCTGATTAGAACAGACTTCTTTACCTGTATCCTCCTAGTGCAAATTATCCGCCACTGTGCTCACCATCTTTCAATCCTGCAGGTGCCTTTGTGGATGTTGGTGCCGAAAGCGAAGGGTGGGCACCTTGCCGGAAAAAAGTATCCAACCTGGGATGGGTTCGGTGGTTTGATTTGTCATAATATATAGCTATAGTTTGCTATAGGAATCTATGGGAATCTATTGGATATTACAATATATTACAGGACTTTGACCTTTTGCCTTGATTTGCTTTTCAATATCGTGCTAATATTTTTGAAGAGCGTATCCAAGATTTATGATGTATCACTCGTTTTGGTTTGAAAGGGTTCTGCCAGTGTCAGTGATGTTGCAGAATTTTAGCAACTGCACGCGATAGCTTTGCAATGTTTTGCATACATTGCAGGTGTCCCATGTTTCACCCAATGGGATTGAGTGAGAAGGTTCCGCCCAGTCAAGATTTGATATCATTTTTTCAACAACAGTAGAAAAAACATGTAAATGTATGCATATGATATGCTGTTGCATATGTGTATTATATATATTTACTCTCTCTCTCTATATAGATATATTTAAATACACATATGCGTACATACAGTCATAAATTCATACATGCATTCATACAT